TAATACGCTCTTGCATGGCAAAGACTTCCTTTGGAAATACAGTATTTTACAGTAACACTGCCTTTGTAACTAGTGTTATTATCCTTTCAAAGTTAACATTTTGCAGAAATCAGGTGATTCCATGTTACCATTGTGGGTCACCAAAAACATCCCCGTCACAAAAAATATACCTAGCTCTGTGTCATTTATCACAATAAATCTGATCCAATTTTCCTTACAATAGATTGCCAACTTTGTCATCAGCCAACAACTAGCAGTAAGACCACTGAGTAATTATGTGAAGGATCAAGCATGTCTGATACCCACTATAAAACAATCAGCCTCCTACTGCTACTCAGTGAGCCAGTAAACCGTAAGTATGCTGGTTTATTGGTATTGATCAAAACCAAAGACAATGAGCATCAACTGAGACATTATTTCTCAAACTAAGAATTTATTTCAGTTTGCCAAAGAAATTATGACATTACATGAACCCTGTAAACCAGAAAAAACCCACAGCATTGATTCTACATAAACCTAATGTGCCAGAGTTAGTGGAGCAGCAGAGTGAAATCATTTTTGGGGCAGAAAGATGGTCCCTTAACCATGCCCCAAGTCCCAAACACAAAACGTCACAATAATCTATTTCAGTCTCTCAAAAATTATTTAGCTCCAGGTAGAAACTTTAAATCAGTGATAAACCCAGCTGGGATTATGGATTAGTTATCCTTCTCAAAGTAGAACAAAGGCCCTAAGAAATTTCAGTGTCATCTTAATGAAGACAGCCAGCCCTGCTTTCCATTTAGTTACTGATTGTCCCCACCCCTTTGCTGCTTCCATTAGTTCCAATGCTCCATACACATCCTTACAGTAGCATTGGTGAAGCGTGTGTTTTGAGAGGGAAAGTCTAAGAGTTCATCCTCCTTTACCCTTCAGAAGTGGTAATATACATGCATTTCTTTTTCTTGCAAATCTAACCCTGCCAAAATAGCAGAAAGCTTGCAAGTCTTCCTCACCTCTTTTTGCCCCTACTGATACCACCCTGCTAGCCTACGAGAAAACAAAAACTACCTATGTATTCTTTAACAAAAGAAAGGCTGTAAAAATGAGCTCACTGTGGACCTAATTTCATTCCAGTAAAGTTCAATTAAATATGCATTTATACAATTAAAGACTCTTTAATATAAGAAGCACAATTTTTTTTAAACACCATAGAAAGATATATCTTGACATTAACTGGATCTTTCTCTTTTGCAACATTGTGGTGGTTTAACCCGGCTGGCAACTAAGCACTGTGCAGCCACTTGCTCACTCACCCCTCCCTCAGTGGGATGGGGGAGAGAATCGGGAAGAAAATAAAAGGTTAGAGCCGAGGGCTGAGATAAAGACAGTTTAATAAGAGAAAATAATA